TTTAGATGGCAAATCCTCTTGGTAGGCACGAGAAGATCTTTATTTATTTTATTGCCGGCACCTTCAATAGACATTTATTTGCTTCTGAAAGTGACATTGATCAGTACCATTTATAATACTGCAGATACCGTAGTTGAGATTGGGGTAGGGCAAATTAGAAGAAGCTAGGTTATCTCACAAAAAGCAATTGATTCAAATGTCCATTCTGCAAAAGCTTTGCCCCTATTGCACAATCGAAAAATATCATCATCAGGAGAACTATATTGCTTGGTTGCCCTAGTTCGCATGAAGAAATAGACATTTCATTAAGTCGGCCACTTATTCTGCCTCCCGCTGGGCCAATGAGGTCGTCAGCAAGTGAAACCACATCTAACCGTCTGCATACAGGCATACTTAGACATGCGGTTCTGATGGCCATTTCCCAAGTCTTGTTCTCCCTCACCCTCTCTTCCTGGTCTCCACTGCCACATAGCATGGCATACTGTACCTAAGCCCGGAATAACCCACTCATATAAGGCAGCGCTTACGTCATCATCAGCTAACGGATACTTACGAAAGGAATCAAAAGAGGCCTGATTTTTAGAGACGAAAAAAAGAAACATATACGCACTTGGGATTGTATACGGTCAGAGGTCATGTTACAATGGCTGTATGCACCAAGTGTGGCACTAGGAATTTCCGGGAACCTTAAGAATACCTAAGAATGGCTTAGTATTGAATTTTCATCTCCGTGGACCAATGTTCGCATGGCAATTAGTGTACTTGTCATGGTTACCAACTGTAGGTTAAATTGAGGCTTGTGTGACCAAAATAGCGTCTAGCCTTGGCAAGATGAAAGGAAGTAACGCCGTAGAAACACCAGTCCTGAAAAGCTTACGCTTGGAGATGAGCAATTCATGAGGAAGGGGTCAGAAACCGAGATAGGTGCGGATTTAACAATGAAGGCTGAGGTTGGAAGAGTGGATAAAGGAAGAGATGCAGCTGTTCAGGACATCTCAGCAGGTATTCGACTGTTTCCTCTGTTCTGGTTACAGTCACCTGCTTTAGCATGGTGTCTCTTTCGCTTTGTCTCACAGGTTTTTCTCGACTATATCCGGTCATCTGACCAAATACCGGCTTTATGGCTGGTTCTCATGGAGATTGATTACCATGAAACTACGGTCAGCCTTAGCCTGATTGGCCCGATGTTACCATCACCTAGTCATGTTTTTCGTCTACTAGATAAGGCTATATCCATGACTTCGAATGTATATGAGCAAAAACTGGCCACATAAAGATAAAACCCATTTGCCTAAATAATAATAAGAAAAAAAATATTTATAAATCAGCATAAACGAAGTACTTGAACAGCTCGTGAAAAGAATACTCTCAAAATTCCGTATTTTTAAGAAGTGAAAATGTGATAGGATCAGCGTTACTGATTTGTACAAAATATAGATTAAATAATTCCACCAAATAATATTCAAACTAGCACAAATTTAAAAAATATGGTTTTGACCTCTAGCGAGTCACATACTTAGTATTGAAGACAAAAATAATATATTTTTCGTATATAAGCAGACTCTCGAGACTACCAGTAAATCATTTATATGAGATGTATTTAACCTATTTCGCTTTAGGTGATGAAGAACTGGTAGTAGAATTTTTCCACACTGACATTAGTAAAGCTGACGTTTCCATTCAATTTCACATAGCTTTGCTTTCCAAAAACGTTGTTCTTATCTAGATTGGACTGCAGCTTCGACCTCACCTAGGTCTTATCAACACCCCCAGGTGAAGTTGAACCGTGACAGTGCAGCATATGAGCTTGACACGTTTACCACCCAGTAACATTGCCACGATTGCCCTTGGGTCACAGGGCAGATGTGAATTTCAAGGAAGGCCAGGCCTTGTCCCATATGAAATGAGATGTATTCACCCTATTTCGTGTAAGGTGATGAATGACTGGTAGTAGAATTTTCCCACAATGATA